ATGGGTAAATTTAGATTTTCAGTATTTTACATGAGAGAGAATATTGAGATGCTGTATATACTCCAAAAAAGAGTAGAAAAGTGGATTGTATATTTTTTCTTACAGAGTATCTTCAGAGAAATTTTGTTTTTAACATTTGTGTAAAAAGGTAATACTTACATTTTCTCTAACCTCGTAATAATAGAATTTTTGTATTTCACAAGAGAAAGAATATTGAGACGGTGTATTTACTTTAAAAGACAGTAGAAAAGGGCATTGTGTATTTTATCTAAAAGAGTGTTTTCAGAGCAATTTTGTTTTAAACACTGGTTTACATAAGAATATTTATATTTTTTTCTAACTACGTAAAGTTAGAATTTTGGTATTTTACATGATAGAGAATATTGACATGGTGTATATACTTCAAAAGAGTGTAGAAAAGGGCATTGTATATTTTTTCTTACAGAGTATCTTCAGAGCAATTTTGTTTTTAACATTGGGGTACAAAGAGGGTATTTATTTTTTAACCTCGTAAAAATAGAATTTTAGTATTTTACTAGAGAGAGAATATTGAGACTGTGTATATACTTTAAAACAGAGTAGAAAAAGGCATTTGAAATTTTTTCTAACAGAGTGTCTTAAGAGTAATTTTTTTTCTATCATTTGGGAACAAAGAGAATATTTGTATTTTTTTCTAACCGCGTATTAAATTTTTTCTAACAGAGTGTCTTAAGAGTAATTTTTTTTCTATCATTGGGAACAAAGAGAATATTTGTATTTTTTTCTAACCGCGTAAAGTTAGAATTTCGGTATTTTACATGAGAGAGAATATTGAGAGATGGTTTATATACTTCAAAAAAGAGTAGAAAAAGGCATGAGATAAATCAAGACTCCAAGTTGGTGAAGATACAGTTAAAGTGTTCGACTGTAAAGTTTTTTTAACTTTGCTGTACGTTCATAAATGTTCATAATAAAATATCAACGAAAACAATTTTCATCCCTCCTCCTCTGTGACAGCCTCAGCCTGAGAAACCCACAGTGGGAAGGGAAAGGAGGGCAGTGTGTTTGGTTATGACCATCCACGCTCACTCCTTAGCAGTGGTTTCTGGCTCTTCTAGGGTTGGCTAGAAGCATAGAGAAAGGAGAGACTGAGGAACAGATAGGGCCTTATTGAATAGTTCAGCTGTATTATGGTGTCACATTTTAGGAGCAGGCATGCAGTTTTTGGCTCTTTCTCATGGGTTCCTGAGAAATTCTCCTGGTAGGGATCTCTGACAGCAGTTCACTGCCTCAGGTGATACAGTTTCTAGGAAGCCACTAAGAGCCCTCCTACCACCTGCCTCTGGGGGTCCTGGGCAGCCTCTTCCTTACCCCTGGCAGGAAGCTTTTCAGGGCAGCGTCTTCCTTAAGATCAATGGTTTTCTCTATTATGGAATTCCTATTTGGCCCACATAAAACATGCAAACACCTTTGTTTGGCTTAACTTGAAGTACGGGCCACTCCCAGCTCCAATCTTTATCGCTTCTATCTGCCCCATTATTTCAACTTGGCCACAGCCTATTGCCTTTGGATTTTATTCAGATGGGATAGCAGTTCCAGAGTTCTCCAGCCTTCAGGGACATGAGCTAATCAGTTTGAATGGTTAATTAGAAGTTCCTGTTCAGGCAGCTCATTAGCTTTAAAACGAAGCAGAAGCATTTTCCCATCCATGAGAATTGGGTGAGGAGGGAGTTCATACAACATACAACCCTTTCAAAAGTCTTCAGTGTAATTAAAAAAAAAAAATGCCCACCGTGGTGGCTCACATCTGTAATCCCAGTACTTTGGGCAGCTCAGGTAGGCAGATCATAAGGTCAGGCTTTGGAGACTACCCTGGCAAACATGGGGAGACCCTGTCTCTACTAAAAACTCAAAAATTAGCTGAGTGTAGTGGTGGGCCCCTGTAATTCCAGGTACTCAGGAGGCTTAGGCAGGAAAATCACTTCAACCTGAGAGGCAGAAGTTGTAGTGAGCCGAGATGATGCCACTGCACTCCAGCCTCGGGAACAGAGCAAGAATCTGTCTTAAAAAAGAGAATTTTTAGTCCTGTCCTATAAAGGTAAGAGGTAGATAATAACCTATTCTGGCAAAACTGGTTCTTGCCCACACCATTTGAAAAGTCTAGAACCTGATTGTAAATGAAAGGATTCTTGACAGCTACTGTTTGGCGCTTCATCTTTGACTCCAATGCCAAACTTGGAGAAGACAGCATGTTTCCACTGTTCTGAAAACAGTAGCTAATCTGTGCTTCCCTTTGCTGTCTCGAGTATAGTAAAACATTTATGAGGTACAGAGGCTTGCAGAAAAGTATTTTAGAAGTGGAGTCAGAACTCTACTGTGGAAAGGGGGCTGAGAGAATCATGAATCTTATTCCTTCTCTTGCCAGCGGAGACTCAGATTTGTGATGTGGTTTCTCTGGGTAAACATGAGTAAGTAACAGAAGAGATCAGTAAAACTCTGGTTCACTGCTTAGAAATTAGTGTTTTATGACCTCCCCTCTGCCAGGGAAATAAGCATGAAGACAGCGTTTTTCCTCCCACTATTTTTAAAACTCAGATGAGCAGGTGTTCTATTGCTCCACGTGGTGGGCTTTTGAACTGAGAGGGACTGAGCACGGAGAAGCCAGAGTAGCACTGCCCCCACCCGGGGCCACCTGAAACTAATGATGCTGCTTTCTTTGGAGCGGCTGCCCATTTAAAAGAAGACTAAGGGGTTTCATTTGGCTCTGTGATTCTTCTGGAAGGAGGCCTGAGTAAGGTTGAGCTGAGGTTGCAGAGGAAAGGGGCCTTTGTCCTACAACCTGAACAAAACAGAACTACAATGATGAAGCAGCATTGTCCATCTGAGGTAATACCCAAGGTACGTTGCCTCATGTCAAGAAAATCAAGGACGTGAATACACATGGAGTGAGATTAAGAATGGAGGTTTTACAGGCAAAAGAAGAAAAGAGAACATCTCTCCTGCAGGAGAGAGGGGCTTCTGAGTGTGTTTTCTGGTTTTCTGGTGAACTGCACAAGGTTTTATACACTTGTTGAGGAGGTGGTGTTTGATTTACATAGGGTCCAAATATGGGTTGGACCAGGTGAGAGCTTTACATAGCTCGTGAAGAAGCTGGCTATCCACCCGAATCTTCTTATGCATATAGGTTTTCTACTTGGCCAGTGCATGTTGTCTGTCCCTTACTGTACTTGTGGTTGATAAAGAAAAAGGAAGATGGAGCCGTCAGGTTGAGCATGCCTGGCACCCAGGTAGCCTTCTATTGTTACAGCTGCTGGCATTCGCCTGTGCAAGCTTCCAGCTTGCTTGTCTATGTCTGCAGCTCGATTTTACAGGCCGGTCTTTGTTAGAAATTGTTTTGGGCTGCTTTTTATTCAAAGGGAAACCTTACCAAAGACTTCCTTACCCTCAATCTCTGACTAAATAATTTCTTTAGAACTCCTGTATCAATGGGACTTCTGGATTACAGTTGAAGTAGTTTTGGCTGATCATCAACTCTGCCTCCACTTAATAGTGAATGCTTTTATTTTCTATGTTTCAAGGAGGGTCTCTTTGCTTCTTGCCCTTCTTCAGAATAGCAGTGTGGAAATTGCATTTAGAACACCTGTTGGGCACAATGGCTCACACCTGTAATCCTAGAAATTTAGGAGGCTAATATGGGAAAATTGCTTCAGGCCAGGAATTTGAGAGCAGTCTGGGCAACATAGAGGTACCCCATCTCTCAAGAAAAAATTACTGGGTGTGGGGGTGCACACCTGCTGCCCTGTTGGCCCAGCTGCTGTCAGGAGGCCATGGCAGAAAGGTCACTTGAGCTCAGGAGTTTGGGGCTGCAGTGAGCTATGGTCATGCCACTGTACTCCAGCGTGGGTGACTCCATCTCTTAAAAAACACAATAAAAACCAACAAAAGTCCACTTCCTATATGGAATGGGAACAGGTAGAGCCTTATGACAGTGAGTGACTCAGAGGCAGAGCAAACGTTTGGCCACAGCTTTAATGGTGCAATGTGAATTTTGTGTTTGTCCTACTGACCAAGGCTGTGGCTGTCTTAGGGTCCTCCATATGGTCTGGCCCTGGAGGAGAAGAAACTGTTCTTGTTCAACACTTTCTGTTTGTGGAGCCCAAGATAAGAACTTTATGTTTGTTTCACAGATGAGAGGGTGCTAAATAGCTTGCTTAGAATCACACAAGTCAGAGGTAGGAGGGCCACGATCTTTAACCAGTTTGTGAGTAGATGTCTTCCCAAGGACGTACAGCTGATGGCATAATGCTGACCTTAAGCCTAGGTTAATCAAATTGATGTTTAATGAAAAGCAATAGATTTCCTCCGGTAGCCCAAGAAAGAGCCACTTGACTACAGCTAATCAGTGAGAGAAATACCTCTATCAAAGGAATAGGTGATCAGAATTCATGGGCAGCAATGGGACATAGGAATGTGGAAATGAGAGGTGTGGGCTCCAGGGATGCTGGAGAAAACTCCTCCTCCAGTATTCCCTAACTCTCGAATGCTGCTGTCTTTTAAATACAAATACAAACCCACTCTGTTGTTTTGCACTGCCCCGTGCCCTGAATCTCTTGTTTGTGGACTGTATCCTCCAGTAACTTATTCAAGCAAGGATACACTGAAGCAAATTGTTCTCAAATATGACTTTATTTCTTCTTACACTTACATGACTGGTGGGGCATAGAATTTTTGATTGAAAATAATTTCCCATTCAAGTTTTGAAGATACTACTCCATTATTTCCCAGCTTCTGGTAGTGCTGTTGAGAAGCCTGAAATCATTCTGATTTTTGATTCTTTGTAAATACTGTTTTTTACAAAACTTTTCTGAAAACTTAGGGGAGCTGTTTTTCTTTGTCATATATTGCAGATTTTCAAGACAATGTTCCATGGTGTGAGTTCGTGTTCATGTGTTTAAACCTAGGAGGTTATCTTATTCAACTTGAGAAGTTGCCTTTTTTTTTTTTTTTTTTTTTTTTTTAACTTCTATTTAAGTTCAAAGGTTCAAGCACAGGTTTGTTATTTAGGTAAAGTCTGTCATGAGGTTTGTTGTACAGATCATTTCATTACTCCGGTATTAAGCCTAGTCCCATTTCGTTGTTTTTCCTGATCTTCTTCCTTCTCTCATTCTCCACTCTCTGAAAGGCTCTAGTGTGTGTTGTTCTTCCGCCTGTTTTATGTTCCTGTGTTCTCATCATTTAGCTCCCACTTGCAAGTGAAAATATCTGGTATTTGTATTTTGTGTTCCTGCATTAGTTTGCTAAGAATAATAGTCTCCAGCTCCATCTATGTCCCTGAAGAGAACATGATCGCATTCTTTTGTGGCTGCCCAGGGTTTTTTGGTGTATATGTACCACATTTTCTTTATCCAGTCTACCATTGATGGGCATTTAGCTTGATTCCATATTTTTGCTATTGTGAACAGTGCTGCCATGGACATATGCGTGCACATGTCTCTATAACAGAAGGATTTATATTCCTTTGGGTACATACCTAGTAACCCATTACTAGGTTTGCTGACTCAAATGGTATTTCGCTCTTTAGGTCTCTGAGGAATCATGACACTTTTTCACAATGGCAGAACGAATTTGCATTCCCGAATACAGTGTGTAAGTGTTGTTTTTCTCTCTAACCTTGCCGGTATGTGTTGTTTATTTTACTTTAATAATTGCCATTATGACTGGTGTGAGATGGTATCTCATTACAATTTTCATTTGCATTTCTCTAATAATCAGTGACGTTGAGCTTTTTTAATATAATTGCTTGTTGCATATATGTCTTGTTTTGAAAAGTGTCTGTTTATGTTCTTTGCCCACCTTTTTATGGGTTGTTTGTTTTCCTCTTGTAAATTTAATTTCCCTACCGATGTTTGATATTAGATTTTTGTGGAATGCATAGTTTACAAACATTTTCTCACATTCTGTAGGTTGTCAGTTTTCTCTGTTGATAGTTTATTTTGCTGTGTGAAAGTTTCTCATTTTAATTTGACCCCAGTTTTCAATTTTGCTTTTGTTACCTTTCCTTTTGGCATGTTCATGATGAAATCTTTGCCTGTGCTTATGTCCTGAATGGCATTGCCTCGTGTCTTGCAGAGCTTTTATAGTTTTTGGTTTTACATATCAGTGTTTAATCTATCTTAAGCAAATTTTTGTATGTAATGTAAAGAAGGGGTCTAGTTTCAGTCTTTTGCATGTGGCTATCCAGTTATCCTGGCATCATTTATTGAATAGGGAGAATCTTTTCCCCCTTGCTTGTTTTTGTTAAGTTTGCCAAAGATCAGATAGTTGTAGAAGATTGGTTTTGTTTCTGGATTCTCTATTCTGTTCCATTAGTCTATGTGTTTGTTTTTGTACCAGTACTATGCCGTTGTTTCCTGTAGCCCTGTAATGCAGTTTGAAGTCTGGTAGCATGTCGCTTCCAGCTTTGCTCTTCTTGCTTAGGATTGCCTTGGCTGTTTTTGGTTCCACATAAATTTTTCAAAAGCTGGTTTTCTGAAAAAAATAATAAAACTCAACCTACTTCTTAACATATTTCAAGAACCCAAATGAAATCATGACTGCTCTTGGAGATGGCACTCTGTATGTTTCAATTTACTACCCAGTTACTGGTCTATTAAAATCATACTGGTTAAAAAATAATAAACTTGAAGCTAGACCAATGAAGGAGAAAAGGAGGAGATTCAAATAACCACCATCAAAAACAATAAGGGCAATATTACCACTGACCCCACAGAAATACAAACCACCCTCAGAGAATATTAGGTACAACTGTAGGCGCTTCTTTTTCTTTAATTTTGAGTTGGAGTTTTGTGCTTGTTGCTCAGGCTGGAGGACAATGGTGAGATCTCGGCTTAGTGCAACCTCTGCCTCCTGAGTTCAAGCGATTCTCCTGCCTCAGCTTCCTGAGTAGCTGGGATGACATGCATGTGCCACCATGTCTGGTTAATTTTGTATTTTTAGTAGACATGGGGTTTCTCCATGTTGAGCCAGCTGGTCTTGAACTCCCAATCTCAGGTGATCAACCCACCTTGACCTCCCAAAGGTCTGGGATTGCAGATGTGAGCCACTGAACCTGAAAAAATTGAGAAATCTAGAAGAAACTGATAAATTCCTGGTCACAACCACCCTCCCTGGGATGCAAGTTTGGTTTAACATATGCAAATTGATAAATGTCATCGTCACATAAACAGAACTAAAGAAAAAAATTACCCACATGATTATCTCAATGGATGCAAAAACAGCTTTTGATAAAATTCAACTTTCATGTGTGTTAAAAACTCTCAATAAACCAGGTATTGAAGGAACATACCTCAAAATAATAAGAGCCACATGTGACAAAACCACAGCCAGCATCATACTGAATGGACAAAAGCTGAAAGCATTCCCTTTAAAAATTGGCACAAGATAAAGATGCCCTCTCTCCCCACTCCCATTCAGCATAGCTTTGAGGGTGTTCTTTGCTCTTGGATTTCTAATTCTTTTAATTGTGATGTTGGGTAGTTAACTTGAGATCTCAATTTTGTTTTTGAGATGGAGTGTTGTTCTCTCAACCAGGCTGGAGTGCAGTGGTGTGATATGGGCTCACTGCAACATTTATCTCCTGGGTTCAAGCAGTTCTCCTGCCTCAGCCTCCTGAGTACCTGGGATTACAGGTATGTGCCACAACACCAGCTAACTTTTGTATTTTTAGTAGAATGGGGTTTCACCATGTTGGTCAGGCTGGTCTCAAACTCCTGACCTTGTAATCTGCCTGCCTTGGCCTCCAAAACTGCTGGGATTACAAGAGTGAGTCACCGCAGCTGTCCCGAGTTCTCACTTCTTGATGTGAGCATTTAGTACTATAAATTTCTCTCAACACTACTTGACTAGCTGCATCCCAGAAACTCTGGTAAGTTGTATCTTTGTTCTCATTAGTTTCAAAGAACTTCTTAAACTTCTTGATTTCTGCCTTACTGTCATTATTTACCCAGGAGTCATTCAGGAGCAAGTGACTCAGTTTCCATGTAAGTGTATGGTTTTGAATGAATTTCTTAGTCCTGATTTCAAATGTGATTGCATTTGCTTTGTGACCTAAGGTATCTTCTATACTTATGAATGATCTATGTGTTGAGTTGAAAAATGTGTATTCTGCAGTCATTGGGATGAAATGTTCCTTGAATATCAGTTCCATTTGGTCTGTAGTAAAGATTAAATTTAATGTTGATTGGTTGGTTTTCTCTCTGGAAGATCTGTCCAGTGCTGAAAGCTGGGTGTTGTAGTCTCCAGAAATTACTGTGTTAGGGTTTCTCTCTCTCTTTCTTATTTGCTGCGTGTGTCTGTTCTTTTTTCTCTCTGTCTGTCTCTATTTCTATCTTTGGAATTCTGATCATTTTAGTGTTGAACCTGTTCAAATTTTCTTCCGGATTTCAACTTTTTTCTTATAGCTATTTCTGGAAGACATAAGGGTCATCTACTCAACTTTGTTGTCTTACTATTCTAACAAGAATTTTTCACAAGTTCTGCTGTCATATTTTCAATTTCTAAGTGTTTCCTTTTTCTTTAAATTTGGTTCTTGTTTCATGAAAATGGTAACACTTTTATCTCTTCGAGAACCTTCATATGGGTTTCAGAAGGTCTTATTTCCTAGCACAGTCCTCATTCAGGCTGCATTTATGTGTCTTCTTGCTCTGGTCTCGGCCATTCATGTTAGAAGCTTTGCTCAGATGCCTGGTGACCCTTAGCTGTCTGTGTCTGTTAGAAAAAAATGGAGCACTGAAAAGCTAAAAGCTGATGGAAGTTCTGTGATTGTAACATTTTTTGGGCGGTGGTCTTGCTGGGTCAGACCTTTTCTTCTTGAGCAAGAGAGATTCTCTCTAGAGAAAAATCATCTTAACTTCTGACCAAGTTTCTGCCACCCTCATTGGAACTAAGTGGTAGGAAAACCTGGAGGATCTCAGTGTTCAGTGTGTACATTTAAGCACTTGTGTCTAGAGAGCTCCTGCCTAGAGACATGAAATTTTACCCTATAGAGAGGAAACTTCCACCCTGCCACCACCGTGGGATGCAGTCACCCATTCTAGGGAGAGGATCTGGGATCTAGCTACTACTGAAACATAAATTCCCTAGGTAAATTTAGCTGCCAACTCTTGAACCCTTGGGGATCCTCGTTGCCTTCCTGCCACTGGCTTGGGATTTAGCATCCCTGGGTCTACTGTCAGGTGTCACTGACAGCTTCTGCTTGCCAGTTTTCTATATGCTGAAGGGATTGTCTTTATTTTCTTTTTATCTTTGTTGGTTTATTTATTTTTAATCATCCCGTATTAATGTGGTTTAATGATGGACTGAAGGCATATGCAGGTATTCAACCAAACATCTTAGCTGAAGTCTGTGTATTTCTCTTGTAGTAAAATCTTAATCATTCTATGTTTCAGTTAATCACATTTTCATATATGCATTCTGATTTGGGGATAATGTGAGAGAAGAGAGAGAGAAAGAAAGAGAGACTCAGACGGACAGAGACAGGGTGAGAGAGAGAGGCTACTGTGACAAATCTGTGGGTCTGTGTATTTGGAAGTCAACAGGAATTTAGCCCTGTTTTCTGTCTAAAAAGCAGGAGTGTCCAGACAATGGATCTTGAACTAGGCTAAGAATCTTTGAGGCAATGGCGCAGATCCAGTTGTGTTCATTTTTTAGTCCTTAAGCTGAAAGGGAAAATAACGTAAAACACATTTTAAAAAATTTCTGGCTGGGCGCGGTGACTCAAGCCTGTAATCCCAGCACTTTGGGAGGCCGAGGTGGGTGGATCACAAGATCAAGAGATCGAGACCATCCTGGTCAACATTGTGAAACCCTGTCTTTGCTAAAAATACAAAAAATTAGCTGGGCATGGTGGCGCGTGCCTGTAATCCCAGCTACTCAGGAGGCTGAGGCAGGAGAATTGCCTGAACCCAAAAGGCGGAGGCTGCGGTGAGCCGAGATTGTGCCATTGCACTCCAGCTTGGGCAACAAGAGCGAAACTTCATTTCTAAAAAAAAAAATTTTCTGAAAGTGGTGTTTTCTGATTTGCCCTCAGATAATTAGATATAGAAGGTAGCCATACATTTTTGGCTAACTCAGCATTCGTTGCTCCATTCAGCGAATTCATCTTTATATTCATGTTCTTTCTCTCCAGCTTAATATCCAAAATTTAAAAGTGAGGAATGCAGAATAGTTGAACTAAAAGAAACAGATCAACCACAACCTACCTCTTCTTCCTCATTGAAAATGCAGGTACAGTCTGTACATTTACTCTGCTGTACATATGTGTACACAACTCACAAAGAAAACCATTGTTAACATTTTGCTATATTCTCTTTATGTACTTTTCTCAGGTACTTTTATTCGAATATATTTTTGATCATAAAATTGTCTTAGACAATAAGTTGTCAGAGAAGAACACCCACTCTTTTTACACTCCAGGCTTCCAGCTTGAAGGTGACTGACTTGGGAATCCTGTATTTTAACAAGATATGATGTTGATATGGAATCTTTTATTTGACTGTTCTGAGGTGTTCGCTTTTTAGCATACTCTCCTTCATCCCCTTCTTCCCTGCTATACACACACATACACATTCACACATACACGGACTCTTTCTTTCTCTCACATGCACATTCTCATACGAAAATACAAGCATGCTCATACACATGTGCACACACACACAGACACGTGCATGCACACTCACACTCATATGAACCAACATGCACATACACACACTCCTTCATCTCCTTCCTACCTGCTACACACACATACTCTAACACTCATTTGCACATGTGCACACACACATATGTACAACATGCAATGTGTCAGAAGGCCATGTAGAAAATGATTGTTACTCTCCAAAAGGAAGAACACCCACACTTTTGCAATGGAAAAAAACAGCACTGTTTTTGTAAAAAAAAAAAAAAAAAAAAAAAAAGAACTTTCTATTAGGCCTAGAAAGAAACTTAAAAAGTGTTTCTTCCTTTATCTAATCAGAACTTGTGTATGTGCACACACCCGTGTGACAGAAAGAGCCAGGGGGAGAGGGAGGGAGAGGAGGTGAAGGCAAGAAGAGAGAGAGCGATTAAAAAGCAAGTGCACTGTGGCAAGCTCGTCTGGACTAAGCGAGAAGCAGGCGGTTGTGGTGATGAGATGCGAGCTCGGAATGCTTCCTGGTACCAAGACTGTCATAAGTGGCTTTTGGGGTCTGAAAAAGTGACAGCAAAATTCAGCGTTCCTTTGACAACCACTCAGAAAATAGAATGTGAGGAAGCAGGAGGAAGGGAAGGTGTGGGGTAAATGTACATATTGCAAACACTATGTACATTTACATTTATTGTGATATTACGATATGTACGCAGGTACATCATGTACCAATTAGGTACGAATGTGCAATATATGCAGGTGTAGATATGTGTGCACAGATTGGACATATGTACGCTATATACACATACGTACATATAATGTAGATATGTACCTTCTGTACACAACTCCATAATATGAACAGCATGCAAACATATAAACTATGTACACACAGGCGTGTACACCAGCTTTGGTAACTGAAGTGATTTCTATTTAATGTGCTAAAAGTAATATCCCAGAATGTACCCATAATATGTACATTTATTGACATATCACAATAAATGTATAAAATAGGTACAGTCTGTACATTTACTCTGCTGTACATATGTGTACACAACTCACATGTACCAAAATGAACATATTTTGTCAAATATGTACCTGCAGATTTCTACAATGTGTACACCATGCATTAGGTACGTGATTTGTGCACAAGAAACATTCCTTGAAATATCAGCGATAAAATATATATCATCATCATAAGATCCATGAGCACAGTAATATATACATGTCGTGTAGTATCACCAAACTGTACATATTGCACACATTCGGTATGCGTTAGGTACCTATGTGTTATACACATATTATGCACGTACAAATTTATCATTTAACATAAGTACACGTTTACAAATATGTGCTCACAATTTAAACTCTGTACACATGAAGATATAGATGCAAACTCTGTACCTATGCACAGGCATGCTATTACAACAGCCCACATCGTAGCATCCCCCACACGCACTCTGGCTTCTTACAGACACCCGGGCTTTGAGGCTGGGCCCACAGCCGCTACCGGAGGGCCTGTAAGATCACCCAGGTCCACCCTGGCTACCTACGGATGCCATGGCTAGAAAGCTGTGCCCACATCCCCACCAGAGGTCCTGTAGCAGTTCGTCAGCCAAATCCGGCAACGTAGGGACACTCTGGCTTAAGGGCGTTTTCCGATACATAGCCAGAAAGCATGTAGCAGACCCCAGGCCAACCCTGCAGCTTAGGGACACACTAACTAGGTGACGGTGCCCAGAGCCCCCACCAGAGGTCCCGAAGTAAATCCCAGGTGCACCATGGCTGCTTAAGAACACCCTGGCTATGAGGCTGTCCTTAAAGGCTCTGCCAGCGTGCCTGTAGCAGCCCAGTAGCCCAGAATGGCTGCTTAGGGAAACCCTGGATAGAGCACTGTGCCCACAGTCCCCACCAACGAGTCAGTAGCAGGCCCAAGGCACACCCTCCTTGCTTTGGGACCCCCTGAGTTGTTGGCTATGCTCACCGCTGCTGGGCCAAGCTATTTAAGAAATGTGGTAATGTGATACTGTCGACCATATTATACAGAAATGATAATGTTATTCTCTTTTGCTATGTATTAGGCAGTAGTTATAGTGACACCTCTGCTATATTGACAAAAATGCCATCCTCACATCCCTTGACATTAGAATTGAAAGCATAGGGGAGTTTCACCCCTTGCAATGTTTAATTCAATATAATTGTTTTCTTGTTTACAGTAGCGACCCTATCAGAGCATGCTGTGCACCTCTTGCCGTATCGAGAGTACTTCCCTACAAGCCACAACGTTTTCCTCTTTTCCTCTGAATGTTAGGAACAATATCCCAGGAATCGCCTACAACCCCAGTCACATCGTGAGTAATGTCCTCTATAATCCTCTAGGGATTTGGAACAATATTACGGGGGGCTTGTGCACTCTCTCAGATATTTGGAGTAATATCTCTTCAGTTTTTGAATATTAGAAACGATACTCCAGTGGTGGTGTACACTGCATTCGATATTCAGAGTATGGTAATCCTTTGTCTTTCGGACATGATTCACTTAATCAAAGAAGCGTTTTACTTTGCCTGTGATATTGGAACCATCGCAGAGGGTACACTTGCTCTCACAAGGAGAGTAATATCTACTTAGGATATGATGGCTAATATCACGAAATGGACACAAGTATGTGTATACCCACTTTGATATTGGAATTAATATTTACGTAATATACTAAAAGCCATATCTCAGAATATACTCATGATGTGTACACTGATTGGTATATTACAAGCAATTAAGTGAATGTGTACCTCATGTAAACTGACTGTGATGGCATATGTGTACACAACACAGACGTAGAATAAATTTACATAATCTATAAAATATGGACAATTATATGCATACAAAGGGTACACAATAGATATGTTCAAAATGTGTACAACAGGTCCACATATTCTGACACCGCAACAATATCATATAATCACAACAGCTTATAAAATCTCAATGCACAGGTAATACATAATACAAATGTACACATTGCACACACTATGTACATTTACATTTATTGTGATATTACGATATGTACACAGGTACATCATGTACCACTTAGGTACGAATGTTCAATATATGCAGGTTTAGATATGTGCGCACAGATTGGACATATGTACGCTATATACACATACGTACGTATAATGTAGATATGTACCTTCTGTACACTAGTCCATAATATGAACCGCATGCAAACATCTAAACTATGTACACACAGGCATGTACACCAGCTTTGGTAACTGAAGTGATTTCTATTTAATGTGCTAAAAGTAATATCCCAGAATGTACTCATAATATGTACATTTACTGACATGTCAAAATAAATGTATAAAATAGGTACAGTCTGTACATTTACTCTGCTGTACATATGTGTACACAACGCACATGTACCAAAATGTACATATTTTGTCAAATATGTACCTGCATATTTCTACAGTGTGTACACCATGCATTAGGTACGTGATTTGTGCACAAGGAGCATTCCTTGAAATATCAGCGATAAAATATATATCATCACAATAAGATGCATAAGCACAGTAATATATACATGTCGTGTAGTATCACCAAATTGTACATATTGCACACATTCGGTATGCGTTAGGTACCTATGTGTTATACACGTATTATGCACGTACAAATTTATCATGTTAACATAAGTACACGTTTACAAATATGTGCTCACAATTTAAACTCTGTACACATGATGATATAGATGCAAACTCTGTACCTATACACAGGCATGCTGTTACAACAGCCCACATCGTAGCATCCCCCACACGCCCTCTGGCTTCTTACAGACACCCGGGCTTTGAGGCTGTGCCCACAGCCGCCACCGGAGGGCCTGTAAGAGCACCCAGGTCCACCCTGGCTACCTACGGATGCCATGGCTAGAAAGGCTGTGCCCACATCCCCACCAGAGGTCCTGTAGCAGTTCGTCAGCCAAATCCGGCAACGTAGGGACACTCTGGCTTAAGGGCGTTTTCCGATGGGTAGCCAGAGAGCATGTAGCAGACCCTAGGCCAACCCTGCAGCTTAGGGACACACTAACAAGGTGACTGTGCCCAGAGCCCCCACCAGAGGGCCCGAAGTAAATCCCAGGTGCACCATGGCTGCTTAAGAACACCCTGGCTATGAGGCTGTCCTTAAAGGCTCTGCCAGCGTGCCTGTAGCAGCCCAGTAGCCCAGAATGGCTGCTTAGGGAAACCCTGGATAGGGCCCTGTGCCCATAGTCCCCACCAACGAGCCAGTAGCAGGCCCAAGGCACACCCTCGTTGCTTTGGGACCCCCTGAGTTGTTGGCTATGCTCACCGCTGCAGGGCCAAGCTATTTAAGAAATGTGGTTTAATGTGATACTGTCGATCATATCATACAGAAATGATAATGTCATTCTCTTTTGCTATGTATTAGGCAGTAGTTATAGTGACAATTCTGCTATATCGACAAGAGTGCCATCCTCACATCCCTTGACGTTAGAATTGAAAGCATAGGGGAGTTTCACCTTTTGCAATGTTTAATTCAAGATAATTGTTTTCTTGTTTACAGTAGCGACCCTATCAGAGCATGCTGTGCACCTCTTGCCATATCAAGAGTACTTCCCTACAAGCCGCAACGTTTTCCTCTTTTCCTCTGAATGTTAGGAACAATATCCCAGGAATCGCCTACAACCCCAGTCACATCGTGAGTAATGTCCTCTATAATCCTCTAGGGATTTGGAACAATATTACGGGGGGCTTGTGCACTCTCTCAGATATTTGGAGTAATATCTCTTCAGTTTTTGAATATTAGAAACGATACTCCAGTGGTGGTGTACACTGCATTCGATATTCAGAGTATGGTAATCCTTTGTCTTTCGGACATGATTCACTTAATCAAAGAAGCGTTTTACTTTGCCTGTGATATTGGAACCATCGCAGAGGGTACACTTGCTCTCACAAGGAGAGTAATATCTACTTAGGATACGATGGCTAATATCACGAAATGGACACCCACTTTGATATTGGAATTAATATTTACGTAATATACTAAAAGCCATATCTCAGAATATACTCATGATGTGTACACTGATTGGTATATTACAAGCAATTAAGTGAATGTGTACCTCATGTAAACTGACTGTGATGGCATATGTGTACACAACACAGGTGTAGAATAAATTTACATAATCTATAAAATATGGACAATTATATGCATACAAAGCGTACACAATAAATATGTTCAAAATGTGTACAATATGTACACATATTCTAACACCACAACGATATCATATAATCACAACAGCTTATAAAACGTCAGTGCACAGTTAATACATAATACAAATGTACATATTGCACACACTGTACATTTACATTTATTGTGATATTACGATATGTACACAGGTACATCATGTACCAATTAGGTACGAATGTGCAATATATGCAGGTGTAGATATGTGTGCACAGATTGGACATATGTTCACTATATACACATACGTACGTATAATGTAGATATGTACCTTCTGTACCTTCTGTACCATAATATGAACAGCATGCAAACATCTAAACTATGTACACACAGGCATGTACACCAGCTTTGGTAACTGAAGTGATTTCTATTTAATGTGCTGAAAGTAATATCCCAGAATGTACTCATAACACGTACATTTATTGACATATCACAATAAATGTATAAAATAGGTAGTCTGTACATTTACTCTGCTGTACATAGGTGTACACAACGCACATGTACATAAATGTACATATTTTGTCAAATATGTACCTGCAGATTTCTACAATGTGTACACCATGCATTAGATACGTGATTTGTGCACAAGTAACATTCCTTGAAATATCAGCGATAAAATATATATCATCACAGTAAGATACATAAGCACAGTAATATATTCATGTCGTGTAGTATCACCATGTTGTACATATTGCACACATTCGGTATGTGTTAGGTACCTATGTGTTATACACGTATTATGCACATACAAACTTATCATGTTTACATAAGTACACGTTTACAAATATGTGCTCACAATTTAAACTCTGTACACATGAAGATATAGATGCAAACTCTGTACAACAGCCCACATCGTAGCATCCCCCACACGCCCTCTGGCTGCTTACAGACACCCGGGCTTTGAGGCTGTGCTTACAGCCGCCACCGGAGGGCCTGTAAGAACACCCAGGTCCACCCTGGCTAGAAAGCTGTGCCCATATCCCCACCAGAGGTCCTGTAGCAGTTCGTCAGCCTAATCCGGCAACGTAGGGACACTCCGGCTTAAGGGCGTTTTCTGATACATAGCCAGAAAGCATGTAGAAGACCCCAGGCCAACCCTGCAGCTTAGGGACACACTAACTAGGTGACTGTTCCCAGAGCCCCCACCAGAGGGCCCGAAGTAAATCCCAGGTGCACCATGGCTGCTTAAGAACACCCTGGCTATGAGGCTGTCCTTAAAGGCTCTGCCAGCGTGCCTGTAGCAGCCCAGTAGCCCAGAATGGCAGCTTAGGGAAACCCTGGAGAGAGCACTGTGCCCACCGTCCCCACCAACGAGCCAGTGGAAGGCCCAGTGCACGCCCTCCTTGCTTTGGGACCCCCTGAGTTGTTGGCTATGCTCACCACTGATGGGCCAAGCTATTTAAGAAATGTGGTTTAATGTGATACTGTCAATCATATCTTACAGAAATGATAATGTTAATCTCTTTTTCTATGTATTACGCAGTAGTTATGGTTACACCTCTGGTATATTGACAAAAATGCCATCCTCACATCACTTGACATTAGAATTGAAAGCATAGGGGAGTTTCACCCCTTGCAATGTTTAATTCAATATAATTGTTTTCTTGTTTACATTAGTGTCCCTATCAGAGCATGCTGTGCACCTCTTGCCGTATCGAGAGTACTTCCCTACAAGCCGCAACGTTTTCCTCTGAATGTTAGAAACAATATCCCAGGAATCGCCTACAACCCCAGTCACATCGTGAGTAATGTCCTCTATAATCCTCTAGTTATTTGGAACAATATCACGGGGGGCTTGTGCACTCTCTCAGATATTTGGAATGATATCTCTTAAGTTTTTGAATATTAGAAACGATACTACGTGTATACTGCCTACGATATTCAGAGTATGGTAATTCTTTGTCTTTCGTACATGATTCACTACATCACAGAAGCGTTTTACTTTGCCTGTGATATTGGAACCATCGCAGAGGGTACACTTGCTCTCACAAGGAGAGTAATATCTACTTAGGATATGATGGCTAATATCACGAAATGGACACAAGTATGTGTATACCCACTTTGATATTGGAATGGATATTTACGTAATATACTAAAAATCATATCTCAGAATATACTCATGATGTGTACACTGATTGGTGTATTACAAGCAATTAAGTGAATATGTACCTCATGTAAACTGACTGTGATGGCATATGTGTACACAACACAGGTGTAGAATAAATTTACATAATCTATAAAATATGGACAATTATATGCATACAAAGGGTACACAATAGATATGTTCAAAATGTACACATATTCTAACACCACAACGATATCATATAATCACAACAGCGTATAAAACCTCAATGCACAGGTAATACATAATACAAATGTACATATTGCACAAACTATGTACATTTACATTTATTGTGATATTACGATATGTACGCAGGTACATCATGTACCAATTAGGTACGAATGTGCAATATATGCAGGTGTAGATGTGTGTGCACAGATTGGACATATGTACGCTATATACACATACGTACGTATAATGTAGATATGTACCTTCTGTACACTAGTAAATAATATAAACAGCATGCAAACATATAAACTATGTACACACAGGCATGTACACCAGCTTTGGTAACTGAAGTGATTTCTATTTAATGTGCTAAAAGTAATATCCCAGAATGTACCCATAATATGTACATTTATTGACATATCACAATAAATGTATAAAATAGGTACAGTCTGTACATTTACTCTGCTGTACATATGTGTACACAACGCACATGTACCAAAATGTACATATTTTGTCAAATATGTACCTGCAGATTTCTACAATGTGTACACCATGCATTAGGTACGTGATTTGTGCACAAGGAACATTCCTTGAAATATCAGCGATAAAATACATATCATCACAATAAGATACATAAACACAGTAATATATACATGTGTAGTATCACCCAATTGTACATATTGCACACATTCGGTATGCATTAGGTACCTATGTGTTATACACGTATTATGCACGTACAAATTTATCATGTTAACATAAGTACACGTTTACAAATATGTGCTCACAATTTAAACTGTACACATGAAGATATAGATGCAAACTCTGTACCTATACACAGGAATGCTATTACAACAGCCAACATCGTAGCATCCCCCACACGCCCTCTGGCTGCTTACAGACACCCGGGCTTTGAGGCTGTGCCCACAGCTGCCACCGTAGGGCATGTAAGAGCACCCAGGTCCACCCTGGCTACCTACGGATGCCATGGCTAGAAAGCTGTGTCCACATCCCCACCAGAAGTCCTGTAGCAGTTCGTCAGCCAAATCCGGCAACGTAGGGACACTCTGGCTTAAGGGCGTTTTCCGATACATAGCCAGAAAGCATGTAGCAGACCCCAGGCCAACCCTGCAGCTTAGGGACACACTAACTAGATGACTGTGCCCAGAGCCCCCACCAGAGGGCCCGACATAAATCCCAGGTGCACCATGGCTGCTTAAGAACACCCTGGCTATGAGGCTGTCTTTAAAGGCTCTGCCAGCGTGCCTGTAGCAGCCCAGTAGCCCAGAATGGCTGCTTAGGGAAACCCTGGAGAGAGCACTGTGCCCACAGTCCCCACCAATGAGCCAGTAGCAGGCCCAAGGCACGCCCTCGTTGCTTTGGGCCCCCTGAGTTGTTGGCTATGCTCACCGCTGCTGGGCCAAGCTATTTAAGAAGTGTGGTTTTATGTGATACTGTCGACCATATCATACAGAAATGATAATGTTATTCTCTTTTGCTATGTATTAGGCAGTAGTTATGGTTACACCTCTGTTATATTGACAAAAATGCCATCCTCACATCCATTGACATTAGAATTGAAAGCATAGGGGAGTTTCACCCCTTGCAATGTTTAATTCAATATAATTGTTTTCTTGTTTACATTAGTGACCCGATCAGAGCATGCTGTGCACCTCTTGCCATGTTGAGAGTACTTCCCTACAAGCCTTTAAGTATCATATTAAGCCACATTTCTTAAATAGCTTGGCCCTGCAGCGGTGAGCATAGCCAACAACTCAGGGGGTCCCAAAGCAACGAGGGTGTGCCTTGGGCCTGCTACTGGCTCGTTGGTGGGGACTGTGGGCACAGTGCCCTATCCAGGGTTCCCTAAGCAGCCATTCTGGGCTACTGGGCTGCTACAGGCACGCTGGCAGAGCCTTTAAGGACAGCCTCATAGCCAGGGTGTTCTTAAGCAGCCATGGTGCACCTGGGATTTACTTCGGGCCCTCTGGTGGGGGCTCTGGGCACAGTCACCTTGTTAGTGTGTCCCTAAGCTGCAGGGTTGGCCTGGGGTCTGCTACATGCTCTCTGGCTACGCATCGGAAAACGCCCTTAAGCCAGAGTGTCCCTACGTTGCCGGATTTGGCTGACGAACTGCTACAGGACCTCTGGTGGAGATGTGGGCACAGCCTTTCTTGCCATGGCATCCGTAGGTAGCCAGGGTGGACCTGGGTGCTCTTACAGGCCCTCCGGTGGCGGCTGTGGGCACAGCCTCAAAGCCCGGGTGTCTGTAAGAAGCCAGAGGGCGTGTCGGGGATGCTACGATGTGAGCTGTTGTAACAGCATGCCTGTGCATAGGTACAGAGTTTGCATCTATATCTTCATGTGTATAGAGTTTAAATTGGGAGCACATATTTGTAAACGTGTACTTATGTTAACATGATAAATTTGTACGTGCATAATACGTGTACAACACATAGGTACCTAATGCATACCGAATGTGTGCAATATATACAATTTGGTGATACTACACGACATGTATATATTACTGTGCTTATGCATCTTATTGTGATGATATATATTTTATCGCTGATATTTCAAGGAATGCTCCTTGTGCACAAATCACGTACCTAATGCATGGTGTACACACTGTAGAAATCTGCAGGTACATATGCGTTGTGTACACATATGTACAGCAGAGTAAATGTACAGACTGTACCTATTTTATACATTTATTGTGACATGTCAATAAATGTACATATTATAAGTACGTTCTGGGATATTACTTTTAGCACATTAAATAGAAATCACTTCAGTTACCAAAGCTAGTGTACACAACTGAGTGTACATAATTTAGGTGTTTGCATGCTGTTCATATTATGGATTAGTGTACAGAAGGTACATATCTACATTACACGTACATATGTGTATATAGCGTACATAGGTCCAATCTGTGCACACATATCTAAACCTGCATATATTGCACATTCGTACCTAATTGCTACATGATGTACCTGCGTACATATCGTAATATCACAATAAATGTAAATGTACATAGTTTGTGCAATATGTACATTTGTATTATGTATTACCTGTGCATTGAGGTTTTATAAGCTGTTGTGATTATATGATATCGTTGTGGTGTTAGAATATGTGTACATATTGTACACATTTTGAACATATCTATTGTGTACCCTTTGTATGCATATAATTGTCCATATTTTATAGATTATGTAAATTTATTCTACACCTGTGTTGTGTACACATATGCCATCACAGTCAGTTTACATGAGGTACACATTTACTTAATTGCTTGTAATATACCAATCAGTGTACACATCATGAGTATATTTTGAGTTATGATTTTTAGTAGATTATGTAAATATTCATTCCAATATCAAAGACATACATGTGTCCATTTCGTCATATTACCCATCATATCCTAAGTAGATATTACTTTCCTTGTGAGAGCAAGTGTATCCTCTGCGATGGTTCCAATATCACAGGCAAAGTAAAACGCTTCTGTGATGTAGTGAATCATGTCCGAAAGACACAGGATTATCATACTCTGAATATCGAATGCAGTGTACACCACCACTGGAGTATCGTTTCTAATATTCAAAAACTTAAGGGATATTACTCCAAATATCTGAGAGAGTGCACAAGCCCCCCGTGATATCGTTCCAAATCACTAGAGGATTATAGAGGACATTACTCACGATGTGACTGGGGTTGTAGGCGATTCCTGGGATATTGTTCCTAACATTCAGAGGAAAAGAGGAAAACGTTGCGGCTTCTAGGGAAGTACTCTCGATATGGCAAGAGGTGCACAGCATGCTCTGATAGGGACACTAATGTAAACAAGAAAACAATTATATTGAATTAAACATTGCAAGGGGTGAAACTCCCCTATGCTTTCAATTCTAATGTCAAGGGATGTGAGGATGGCATTTTTGTCAATATAGCAGCGGTGTCACTATAACTACTGCCTAATACATAGCAAAATAGAATAACATTATCATTTCTGTATGATATGGTCGACAGTATCACATTAAACCACATTTCTTAAATAGCTTGGCCCAGCAGCGGTGAGCATAGCCAACAACTCAGGGGGTCCCAAAGCAAGGAGGGTGTGCCTTGGGCCTGCTACTGGCTCGTTGGTGGGGACTGTGGGCACAGTGCCCTATCCAGGGTTTCCCTAAGCAGCCATTCTGGGCTACTGAGCTGCTACAGGCATGCTGGCAGAGCCTTTAAGGACAGCCTCATAGCCAGGGTGTTCTTAAGCAGCCATGGTGCACCTGGGATTTACTTCGGGCCCTCTGGTGGGGGCTCTGGGCACAGTCACCTTGTTAGTGTGTCCCTAAGCTGCAGGGTTGGCCTGGGGTCTGCTACATGCTTTCTGGCTATATATCAGAAAACGCCCTTAAGCCAGAGTGTCCCTACGTTGCCGGATTTGGCTGACGAACTGCTACAGGACCTCTGGTGGGGATCTGGGCACAGCTTTCTAGCCATGGCATCCGTAGGTAGCCAGGGTGGACCTGGGTGATCTTACAGGCCCTCCGGTGGCGGCTGTGGGCACAGCCTCAAAGCCCGGGTGTCTGTAAGCAGCCAGAGGGTGTGTGGGGGATGCTACGATGTGGGCTGTTGTAATAGCATGCCTGTGCATAGCTACAGAGTTTGCATCTATATCTTCATGTGTACAGAGTTAAAATTGTGAGCACATATTTGTAAACGTGTACTTATGTTAACATGATAAATTTGTACGTGCATAATATGTGTATAACACATAGGTACGTAACGCATACCGAATGTGTGCAATATGTACAATTTGGTGATACTACACGACATGTATATATTACTGTGCTTATGTATCTTATTGTGATGATATATATTTTATCGCTGATATTTCAAGGAATGCTACTTGTGCACTAATCACGTACCTAATGCATGGTGTACACATTGTAGAAATATGCAGGTACATATTTGACAAAATATGTACATTTTGGTACATGTGCGTTTTGTACACATATGTACAGCAGAGTAAATGTACAGACTGTTCCTATTTTATACATTTATTGTGATATGTCAATAAATGTACATATTATGAGTACATTCTGGGATATTACTTTTAGCACATTAAATAGAAATCACTTCAGTTACCAAAGGTGGTTTATAAGCATGTGTTTACATGGTTTATATGTTTGCATGCTGTTCATATTATGGACTAGTGTACAGAAGGTACATATCTACATTATACGTACGTATGTGTATATAGTGTACATATGTCCAATCTGTGCACACATATCTACACCTGCATATATTGCCCATTCGTACCTAATTGGTACATGATGTACCTGCGTACATATCGTAATATCACAATAAATGTAAATGTACATAGTGTGTGCAATATGTACATTTGTATTATGTATTAACTGTGCACTGACGTTTTATAAGCTGTTGTGATTATATGATATCGTTGTGGTGTTAGAATATGTGTACATATTGTACACATTTTAACATATCAATTGTGTACCATTTGTATGCATATAATTGTCCATATTTTATAGATTATGTAAATTTATTCTACATCTTTGTTGTGTACACATATGCCATCACAGTCAGTTTACATGAGGTACATATTCACTTAATTGCTTGTAATATACCAATCAGTGTACACATCATGAGTATATTCTGAGATATGGTTTTTAGTATATTACGTAAATATTCCAATATCAAAGTGGGTGTCCATTTCGTGATATTAGCCATCGTATCCTAAGTAGATATTACTTTCCTTGTGAGAGCAAGTGTACCCTCTGCGATGGTTCCAATATCACAGGCAAAGTAAAACGCTTCTGTGATGTAGTGAATCATGTCCGAAAGACAAAGGATTACCATACTCTGAATATGGAATGCAGTGTACACCACCACTGTAGTATCATATCTAATATTCAAATACTTAAGAGATATTACTCCAAATATCTGAGAGAGTGCAAAAACCCCCCGTGATATTGTTCCAAATCACTAGAGGATTATAGAGGACTTTACTCACGATGTGACTGGGGTTGTAGGCGATTCCTGGGATATTGTTCCTAACATTCAGAGGAAAAGAGGAAAACGTTGCGGCTTCTAGGGAAGTACTCTCCATATGGCAAGAGGTGTACAGCATGCTCTGATAGGGTCACTAATGTAAACAAGAAAACAATTATATTGAATTAAACATTGCAAGGGGTGAAACTCCCTTATGCTTTAAATGCTAATGTCAAGGAATGTGAGGATGGCATTTTTTTCAATATAGGAGACGTGTAAGTGTAACTACGGCCTAATATATAGCAAAAGAGAATAACACTATCATTTCTGTATGATATGGTCGCCAGGATCATATTAAACCACATTTCTTAAATAGCTTGGCCCCAGCAGTGGGGATTGTAGCCAACAAACCAGGGCGTCCCAAAGAAACGAGGGTGTGCCTTGGGCCTGCTATGGGCTCGTTGGTGGGGACTGTGGGCACAGTGCTCTATCCAGGGTTTCCCTAAGAAGGCATTCTAAGCTACTGGGCTGCCAAAGGCACCCTGGTGCAGCCTGTAAAGACAGCCACATAGCAAGGGTGTTCTTAAGCAGCCATGGTGCACCTGGGATTTACTTTGGGCCCTCTGGTGAAGGCTCTGGGCACAGTCACCTAGTTAGTGTGTCCCTAAGCTGCAGGGTAGGCCTTGGGTTACCTACATGCATTCTGGCAATGTATCAAATAAAGCCCTTAATTCAGAGTGTCCCTACAATGCCAGAGTGAGCTGGCGAGCTGCTACAGGACCGCTGGTGGGGATGTGGGCACAGCTTTCTAGCCATGGCTCCCGTAGGTAGCCAGGCTGGGCCTGGGTGCTTTTACAGGCCCTCTGTT